TCCCACGCGCGTAGGGATGGCAAACTGGGTCGACAGCCGTCTTCTGTTTCACCACAAGGGAGCTTGCGCCGCTTCAAACGTTAAAGCACTGTCAATCTTCTGCGCATGCGCAGATGTACTGAACTTGAACTGCGCATGCCCAGAAAAGAGATAGTGCTTTAACATTCGAGGTGGCACAATATATACTTAAAACATCGACGTTTTTGACGAAGTTTTCATGGACATCGAGAGCCTGTTGGGGATATGTGGAAGAATCGACGTTTTGCTCTGCTGAATTTCACGACCATCTGTATCATGTTGTTCATGGGTTTTGGTTCATAAATTATGACTTATCTCAGTTTGCCAACGTTTCGGATGTTATTTCTCCATCATCAGGGATAAATACATCAACAACATGGTAAGAATAATGTATAACACACTAATTATTAATCTACTACAGTTGGTCGTAAAATACAACAGAGAAAAACATGGATATTTCCATATATCACCAAATGGTTTTCGATGTAAGTAAAAACATATGTTTCAAATATTGATGTTTTAAATATGATGAAACATTTACACGTAAAATGACCTTGTTCTAATGTGATAAATAACACGCCAATATTAGTTTAAAATATATTCTGCCTCCAATTTGACTGCAGTTTTCATTTTCTAATTAATGTTCTATGTAGTCAACGGTCAAATTGCATTTAAACGATATTACCACGTACAAATTCATTTTAAAGAAAGGTAACAACCCTGGAGAAAGGTTGCAAATAGCAAACAGATTTGTGCAACCCGGGGATCGACAACAGTTACAGTTGTCTAAGGCTGTTGATTGCGAGTAATCAAAATAAAACTTAGACATTTTTATTTACATTATGATATTTGCTTAAAAATTCGATGTTTCTGCACAAATCTATCTGAAGAAAACATCGATTTTCTAATATCGATGTTTCTGTTCGAAAATATCGATATTTTTGCCATCCCTATCCCCGCGGGGAGAACTCTGGGTCCACCTACGCACAGGCGCTTCGCAATGACATGAGTAGCAGACAAATCTGGATTATAACTCTCTTCTCAAGAAGTGACACTGCACATTAATTCTAAGTGATTAAGACTATTACAGTTTAATAATACTTCGTTGCATGCTAAACAAATTAAAAATATGTATCACCTCTCTTCTTTTGATCAATTTTATAATTAGGTTGGTGCACTGTTATATTCCTACGAGTACGTTTTAATGTCTTGTCATTCTTGTGGCCAATGAGTGAATTTCAGTTCATATCATTCTCGTGACAAATGAGTGAGTTGTAGTTGTTATCATTCTCGTGACAGGTGAGTGAGTGTATTCCGAACCAGTTTCGAATGCGTAACAGATATATTAAAAAAACGAAATGGATATATGGTATGTCATCAATTATTTTAGTACATTCCAACAATTTGATTTAAGAATACTTTTTAAATATCTACTTAAATAAAAAGGTTAGTAAACGACTAACGTTAACGTGCAAATGTCATTGATTTACTACTGCAACACAATCTAGTTTCATTGCTTCAGTTTGTGCTCCCATTCACTGAATATCTTTGATCGATCGAATGCAGGTAACTGTTACAATTATTCTCATTTTGGACATGAGTATAACGATTCAAACCAAAAAAAGAAACAATCAGGTGTCACGTGCAATGTCCAATCTACAGTACATCAAGATCAGTTGGATAAGCGGATGGCTCACTTGTTTGGAAGATTTTAGAGGTCTTGGATCCCCATCCCTGAGGGGATGTATTTTCTAGAGAGACTCACTACCTTAGATAGGTGTCCTGATCGCATTTATGAGACTCCTCTCTTCCGCGAAGGAAATGATATACCTGAAAAATAGTCACCAAATACGTAGGAACTCTTCTTTCTTTTTACAAAACTTCGCTTAAGACAGACAACGACTGGTCACCCCTCCACGTTCTCTAGCTGACCATAATAAATCACTATTCAAAGCACTATTAGTATGTTTGATACGATAATTCGCGAGATGTATAAATATGTTCAATAGGAAAATAATGGAAACGATGAGACCCTGAACCACGCACCTGAAAATAAGAGCGGGAACACTCCACAATACACAAGTCTAAAAACTGTGAAACTAGAAGCAACCTGCATCAGTAATCAAGCTGTACAATGTTTTAGCCCCTTAATTTAGGAGAGAATAAAACTCTTTTGTGATTGGCTAATGAACTTGTAAGTGGAAGGACAGCACTGCGTGTGGGCCCTATATTTTGAAGTGTTAGCTCTCCTTGCTCCTTGCAGGTTTCAAACCCCTCGACCGTGTCGTCCAATCTCTGGGCGCGCGAGTCTCGCTGTCTACCTGCGTCCTTCCGCGTCGTCGCGGGGCTCGCGCGCGTCGCCGGGGTCGCGTCGCTTGCAGTCGCCGGCGTCGCGCCGCGCGCCGCCGCCCCCGCCCGCCGTCCCGCCGCCTGCGAGGGTTGGGCAGAACCGAAGCAACTCTTAGCGGACCCATTTCAAATGGAAAAGAAAATACATTTCCCATCGTTGCTAATGCGAACAATGGAATAATCAACCCGATGCACGTTTACGAAAGAAACTTTTACGTTAATATATACACTACAGTACAAAATTTAATAATTTTTCGTTTATAGGAAAAAAACAGCAAATATCACTTTATTTACAAGACAGGTTGAGTGCAATATGGTGATGTGAAAGGTATTCAAAGAACTTACAAAATGACTGCATCATGAAAGAAATTAATAGATTTTATATTTACAATAAAGCATTTACTTTTTAAACTTGATTAGGAGGAACATATTTATTTTAGGATAATTATTCTACTTAAAGTTACTGATAGAGAAATATTATGAAATCTGTTGATGTACCGCGAAGGGAAAAAGTATAATAAAGATTGTGCTGCCGCCAGACGTAGAAAAGGGATTTTTGTTCCTTCGACCCTTCGTCAACGAGTTTATGAATTGGAAGTTGGGAGCGAGCGCGATTACGGCTACCAACAAGTGCCATGCAATTTGCACCCAGTGCGCGTCCTCAAAAATCATCAACTGTCACCGCTGCCGAACGCGTGAAAACACCACACTACGACGGAAGGAAGTTACTCGCTGTCGCCAGATAGTAATGGTGGCAGCTAAAATTTTAGCACACGCGCTGCGGAACGTACGAAAATATTGCAATTCGTCTCGTACCTAAATACGTCAATATTTATATTGAATAAAGAGACTGCGGCACCACTAGTTCCCTTCGCGGTGCATCTCGAGGGTGCCGGGGGAGCGCCTACCGCCGCCCTGCGGGCCTCCGCGGTCGTGGTCCTGGTCGCGGGGGCGGTCGCGCGCGTCGGCGTCGGTGGCGGCGTCGGTGCTGCTGCGGCGCCGCTGGGCGTGGGCGTGGGCGTCGGCGCCGGGGGCGGGGCGGGGGGCGGGCGGCGGGGCCGAGCGCCGCACGTCCGCCGCTCCTCCGACGTCCCGTCCCCTCGAACGACGACGCGCCCACCAGGCGTACGCCTGCCGCGACACACACAGCCTTTCACTATTAGGGCGCCTTCTCACGTGCCACCGCTGCGACGCTTCCGGACGCCGCGGCTCTGAGCAGAGCATTCGTTTGAATGGAGACCTCCCCACGTGCGGTGGGTCTGCGCCGCTGCGGCGTTCGGCGCCATACTCTCGCCACGAGAAGCGAAGGAAGGCATGCACGCCAGCGCTAGCAGAACACTGCTTTGAATTACGGTATTCCCATTTCGCCACCGCTCGCGCCGTTTTATATTCTGCGGTCCCTTTGTTCGATGTCGGGGAAACCTACCCCTGCAGACCCCGCCTCCTTCTACGGCGATGTGGTGGGGCATACAGCGGTGGCGGCGTGGTAAGAGCCTTGCCGCTTATCGGAAGCGCGCCGCTGCGGCGACGTGTCAAGGTGCCCTTACTATAAGCATAACTTTTCATCAAACCTTTACTGCTTTCGAAAAATGTACTATTTTGAAGCTTGAAGGACGTGAAAATGTGAGCAATCAAGTGCAAAATAAACTCCTTTCTCTTTTTTCTTTTTTTCACTTTCACATACTTCAACATGTAAATGTAAGTTATTGAAGAACAGAGTTAAGAATTGCCAATTACTTAGTACATGTTAATGAAACCTAATTTACATTACTCGTTACTTTGCGTGTGAACAAATGCAGATGAAACCGAAAGTTTCACTAGCTCGATCCAGAAAAAAAACAAGACGCTGAGCCATCGCATTGTTCATAATGAGCGAGTTTCCAGAAATTTATGATTTAAAATTTAGATGCGAATATGCAGAGATGAATGAAAATATTTAAAAATAGGATAACGCGCGTGAACGAACAAAAGGTGAAGAACAATGTATCTTTTTCTGGTGACTTTTCGGAACAATCCTAAAGGAACGAATGTTTTGTATTTCGTTCGAGCATTTATATTCCTATCCATGGAAGAGTTAACGGACCCACCTCAGAACGAGGCATCAATACTTAGTTTTTCATTTCTTCCTTGTTGAAAACATGTTATACTCTTCATATATCCATCAGAACCACTATTGTGTTCAGTTCTGAAATTTTAAATCTAAACTCATTGCTTCCGTCAGTTTTTTCTCAGATCTGACAGAACTATACTATTATTGTGTCATACAATTGTGAAGCTTTTATTTTTACATATTCTATAAAGGATATGTCTCTATCTTTGATTATGTTGTTGATGGCAACATTGGTAAACATTTTTAAAAAAGACAGATATTAATATATGACTGTCATTTTATAATAGTGAATGTTAACAGAATTCATATGAAGAATTTTAGTAGTATTTAATCATTCATCCATTAATCATTAAGCTTTTGATTCCTGCATTTGATTTGTCAGCAAAAACTTTAAGCATGTTATTTTTTTTAAAACTTGATTTTTCGAGTTGTATCAGTACTGCAGACAAGTGACCGAAGTGTAGCAATAAAATCCCATCCGTGAGCTCAGAAACAGCACGCGAAAGCCTTAAACACGTTTATCTCAGAACTTCGTTTTCCGAGTATCGCAGACGAGTGACCTAGGCGCAGGGAGCGTCCTCGAGCTGAGGCGCGAACCGACCTTGCGCCTGCGCAGCATGCTGGACTTGGTCTCGGTGTAGGCGGTGGGCGCGGGCACGGGGTCGCGCGCGAGGCCGGCGGAGGCGGCGGCGTTGGCGGCGAGGCGCGGCGTGCCCGCGGCCTCCAGCGCGCTCTCCGTCTCCTCGATGATGGGCGTCTTGATCTTGTAGCGCTTGCCGTCGCGCAGGCTGCCTCCGAAGCGCCGGAAGCGGATTTCGCCGCGCTGCGAGCGCCGCCGCCGGCTCAGCGGCCGCCGCCGGAACCCGGGCCGCGAAACTACGTGCCCTGCGCACCCCGTCGCACCTCTGCTCAAAGCCCACTCTGCACTGCGAGTTTTTAACTGCCCTCTACATGTGCCGCTACATGTCGCCTGGTCGCGACTGTGTCAACCACTGCTCGATATGGTCGCGACATCGATCGAGAAAGACGCCAAATGCGGTGACATGATGCCAATGCGAAGACGGGACTCAGGTGAGCAGTTAAAAAAATTAGCACTATAGTCGCGCGACTTTTCTTGACGTCTTCCAACGCGGGGAGAGGGAAGACCCGACTGCCTACGTCACATCAGACAGGTGTTGCTAACTGTAACATTATTAACACCATTCGCGCCAATTTCGTTTTTAATACAGAATATTATAGACGATGAAAAGGCCACAATCGGAATCGTAAAGCCAAGAGGGGATCAAAATTTCATTGCGTAAAATAGGAAATAAATCATAGGGCACGACAAAAAACAGCAAAAAAGCGAGAACTATTTATTCGAAAGCAGCGGTAGGCGTTCTGTTGCAAGTTTTTTACTTGAGAGACCAAGGTCTTGACCTAACTGTGCCGAGGTTTTGAATACTACGTTCTTTACACCTAAGTATGAGTTTTAGTTTTCTAGACCGAATAGAATATACAGAGCGAGAATATACTACATTGAGTGGCTGAAGCGCCTCCCATCTTTGAAGCAAGCAGTTTTTTGCAGTCGAAGAAGCACCCCCTGAGAAACAAAGTATTCTACAATTACGTTTGGCGCTGGTTGTGGACGCTGGTGACGGAACCACTCGTATGTTTCGACTTCAAAAGAACACTGTGTCCACTAATTTCATGAGACAAGAGCACTGAAACAATACGGACAGCCTAGAGTGGCTGTCCGTATAGTTTCAGTGCTCTTGGCTCATCAAATTATAGTAGTATAGTTGTAGCTCAGTGGGTCTAGAGTTTGCAGTTTTGGAAGCATCGGTGCGCATGTCTCGTGTCTTACCTCCGCCGCCGCTCCCCGACGAGGACACCTCCGGCCTGGGCGGGCGGCGCGCGCTGCGCGTGGCCTGGCCGTCCTCGCCCTCCTCGCCGTCCTCGGCGCGCTCCGCCGCCTCGCCGTCGCTGAAGGAGTCGTCCTCGTCCACGTCCTCGTCCTCGTCCTCGTCGTCGTTGTCGCTCTTGACGCGGCGCTTGGGCGGGCGCAGCAGGTGCAGCGGCACGGGCTCCGTCTGCGTGCTCGTGTCCACGTCGGCGTGAGTCTGCGTGGCCATGGTCGCCTGGCCCGGCAGCGACTGCGTCTCCTGGCTGTCGAGCCCCGCGCCTGAGAAGCGCTGCTCGCGGTGCAGCTGCTGGTGCTGCAGCTCCGACTGCAGGCGCATGCGCAGCTCCTCCTCCTGCAGCACACCACCCTGGCCCTTCAACTCCATTCAATCCCTTCAATTCAATACATTCAAATCAATTCCATCCATTCCCTCCAATTCCATCCATTCCCTCCAATTCCATCCATTCCCTTCAATTCCATCCATTCCCTCCAATTCCATCCATTCCCACCAATTCCATCCATTCCCTTCACTTCCATCCATTCCCTTCACTTCACTTCCATCCATTCCCTTCACTTCACTTCCATCCATTCCCTTCACTTCACTTCAAACCATTCACTTCACTTCATCCATTCACCTTCACTTCAATC